CGCATCTGAAGTCATCTAATATAACTGCTCTAATTGTGTTGTTCTTCCTTTTGTATTCTATTTTTAGGCTTTTGCCGCAGCACGCAATGCTGAATCGTTATTTGCTGTATATCTTTTTTCTCCTGATGCACAGGTGTGCCATTGCTTTCTTGATATCATGATTCTTACTATTCGTAATGCTGATAATCTTGTTTTGAGTATGTTGATTACATGGTCCGACAAGTGTTGGAGGACCAAACTTTCAACGAGACTATCATCAATTACAATATTGTGCTGTGGGGTGTTGATCCCCGCTCTTCTGCCGGGAAGGACGGTGTGTCTATATTTATTTCATCTCCGCTATTAGATTCATACGAGTTTAGTTGCACGTCGGATGAGAGTCTCAACATTCCCTTGCTTCTTTGCGGTATCCACACGAGATCACTCAGTGGTGAGTGGGAGACCAAGTATTCTTCTATAATGAATTTCTTTGCTAGGTCATGCGCGTTGAAATGCCTGTTGAAGCACGACAAATCTACTCATTGCTGCGCCAGTGTGCTTTGGACGAGTTGGAGCAAAGGGAAGAAGAACGTTCTCGAAGGTTGTTGTTCAATGTGTATTACAACAATATCCTGACTTCTGTCTTTATAGAAGCGCTCTACGTGAGATTCGAGAACTAATGGAACAGCAGGAAAGGGAATATCGGGAAAGTGAGGAGCGCGATCGTGCGTTAATCGCGGAACGCCGTCGTCAACGGGAGCAGAAGGAGGAGGAACAGAGGATGCAAGCGAAACAGGCGACAGAACGTGCTGCCAAAGAAGCTGAACGGATGAAAGTGTGTTTTTAGTTTTGCCATTTTAATTCTCATACTCGTGCAGAATTTGCAGCGTAGTATGTCCGCATCAGATGTGTCCCCATATGGTTCTACTTTGTCGGCAATCTATTTTGCGGCATCCTTTACTCTTTCTGATGTGTAGTTTTTCTTGACATTCAGGGCATATGGTTTTTCTCAAAGGTTTAGAACATACGCTCTTTTCAATGATTTTTTCTTTCTATTCTGCTAGCTCACATGCAGATGGTGTCATGGCCTTTGACGCGCCCGTATCTTGTACATACCACACGCGAACGGCTTTGAATTGTTGCCTGTGCTGGATTGCCTCTTAGCGACTCTGCAGTAATAGTGATATCCTTTTGACTTCGAAAATATCGTCCATTCGCGTTCCTAGCACGTTGACGACGGATCCTGTTTGGGAGAAACTTCTACTAACGTTTTCCGAATTGGAGCGTGCATACGCGCGTGCACGAAATCGTTGTGTGGAGTCTTTCTGAAAAACATGCGAAGCTTTTTTAATTCAAAGCTTGTGAAAAAACTCCCAAAAGTTGAATTTAATGGTATCTTACCGAATTTTACAAAGAAGTACACATGCGAAAAATTTACATCGTTTCCCCTCTAACTATGCCGCGGGAATCTTGGGGATCTATTGAGAAAAGCATCACGATATTAGTATTTTTTGCCTGAGTTCATCCT